AGCTTTTCTTTCCAAACAGAATTGCAAGAATGGTGTTGGTCTAGCACTTTTAGGGGCATAGTCCTAATAGGTTTTGTTAATAGATATTGTAAATAATTAATTAAATATATGTAAGTAATACTGTTATTAGTTATAGACACATTTATTCAAAATTCTGTGCCATAAAGGACTGTGGGCTTTTCTGCTTCCTCGGTTGTGAGGCAAAGTAGACTGTTAGAAAAAAAAAATCATCTAAGTCGGTCCTCCTATCCCTTTCTGCCTTTCTGGGAGGGAGGGAGGGAGGGAGAGAGGAAGGGAGGAAGGGAGGAAGGGAGGGAGGGATTGAGGGATTGAGGGAAGTAACTCAGACATCTTAACAGGTTTCTTCTGTAACCTGCTTGTACAGTTCAGGAAGAATTACCTAAAATAGGGCTCCTAGGGTAGGGTCACCATCTTTTTTTGTTAAAAGGACATAGAGCTCTGCTCTCTGTGCCTGGTGGTACAAGGGGAACATGCTCCCCTGTACTGAGCTGTGTGACCTGATGCAATTGCAAAGGGAGGATCATGTAACCTTCCCGTTGAGTACTTGGTGCTACACTATTTGGAATGGATTCATTTCCCAGATTTCAATTTGAGTGAGGGCACACAGGGAAAATATTTTGTCCATAGGAAAAGCCAAATGATATACAAGAGATTTTTGTCATGATGTTTGGTGAGATTCTTTTTCAAGGACTTTCTCAACCGAACGAGGACATCTGAGCACCATATACCTGGGCTAGGCAGAGATTACTTGTCTCTACAAAATTGCCACTACAACTGACAGTAGTGATAATGAATATTATTGCTTAAAAATATTAAAGCACTGTGTTTTATCTGTATTTTTGCCTATATTGTCTTTATACTAGTCACATTAGGCTGGAATTTTCCATTATTAACATAAGGGGTTTATATGCTGAACATGCTAGAGAGATTTTATTTCATCCAGGTATACTGGCAGAAGGTCAGTGTGCTTCTTTATGCAGGGATACCGGTATGCCCAAGATGTAGTTTCATTAAGTATGTGAACTTGTATTATTTATGGCTTTCTTGTTTGATACCAACTATGTATAGGACTTAAGGCATTGTACCATTTGTGTTTTTCTTTCAGGACAGGCTGTATGTGTTAACTGTGTTTCCTTTCCTTTAAAATTTTCATATACTTTATTTGATCCTTGTTATTATAACAATTCAGTCATGAATCAGACACTTAATTGCTTGAAATTTTGGCATTAAAAATGCTTTCATTTTTAATGATATTGAATGACCCTTTGGAGTACATGATTAACTCAGATTTACAGCTGGTAAATTTACACATTGGGTTTTTTTCCTCCTCTGCTGATATCTGTTCAGCAGTGATTCCTTTACTGCCACATTAAGTTCCTCCATATAATCTCCTGAAATATTCACATTGCATCTGCCTTTTGTATTATTAATAATATTAGTATTGTTTGTCTTCCAGGAAGAGGAGTTAATTAGGAAAAATGGATAGGTC